GAAATGGCTTGCAGCTAATGATCAACATTTGTGTACTTCCCTTGAGAAAATGTTACCACCAGTATGATATGCCATATGTGGTCATGCATGGAAGTGAAGGCATGCAAATTCTTATTAGATACAGCAAGCCCTGATAGGCTTTCCAATAAAAAACTGTACATATGAAAGTAGCTGTAGTAGGCTATATTTCACAAAGAGGAAACTTAGAGTGTGTGACTGGTTGGGAAATAATATGCAAATATTTATTTGTCTGACCCTTGAAAATATTTTGTAACTGCACATCAATAGGAACAAATACTTATTTCAACACCTAAATTGTTGACTCAGTCAGATGCATCTTATATATACAGCACTAATGCATACAGTATACAGTATGTCAATGCTAATATTAATTTATACAGTAAGTGCATGTTAAGTGTAGATCCTCTTCTGGTGGATGAATTTCCTTGTTCTGATATATCTCGAGTGTTTTTCTTCTAGTCAGGCTGCTGTTATTACTGCATTTTAAATGTATGTGTGATTGGATGTCTCCCTAAGGTGCCTTTTGGTAGATGGCTGTAACAAAGCTATTTAAACAAATTACTCTGCTACGCATAATTGACATGGAGGCATTATAGGACACATTAAAAATGTAATTCTTAGCTCAGAATAAATGGTAACTGAGTAAGATGTGCCGAATTTAAAAACTCAGGCATTTCATTCATCAAAATAAGAATGTCCCGAAAGTGTTTTTCAAAAGTCAACTTGACTTTGTTTTTTCCCCTTCTCATCCAAGAAACTTCAGTTCTCAAAATAAGAGTGAATTCTTCACAACAGCAGCTACATGAGAATATTGAAGGTACTTTAAGTACTTTTGGTGTGTCAGAAATAAAAATCTTGCATAGTATGAAAAATGAAGTGACTTGCTGTAAGGAATTAAGAATATATAGCACAATATTCTTCAATGTTTGGTATCTCTTTAATGCAGTAAATAAGTTGGGAAATATATGACTCTGAAGTGTGTTGCCTAGAGAACTGAAACAAATTGGCTTGACCATTATAATCAAAGAATGTTAAACCAGAGAGTGGTATCAAGTGTAGTGCAAACTAGTTTCAGTGCTGGACTTGACTGCTGCCACACTTTTCTTAATGACTTGGATGAAGATATAGAAGAAATACATAGGAAATATGCAAAGGTCACAAAAATGAATTTGTAATATTTGAGAGGCAAGAATAAAAACTTCAAAAGAATCTTGATTTGGTAGAATGGGCTGAAAAGAGTATATTATGGACAGGATTTTGGGGAGACTTAGTGCGGCCACATGTTTACTGGACCCGTGTCCCTCCTGGTTGGTACTGGCCTCTCGGGAGGTTACACGAGGCTGGCTCCAGGGTGTTATCAACGCTTCATTGAGTGAGGGTTACTTCCCCGCGGCCTTGAAAGAGGCGGTGGTGAGGCCTCTCCTCAAGAAGCCGTCCCTGGATCCGGCAATATTGGCCAACTATCGTCCTGTCTCCAACCTTCGCTTTCTGGCAAAGGTTGTTGAGAGTGTGGTCGCGCGACAGTTTCCGCAATTCCTGGAGGAAACATCCTATCTGGATCCGTTCCAGTCTGGTTTCAGGCCTGGGCACAGCACGGAAACGGCATTGGTCGCGTTGGTTGATGATCTCTGGAGGGCTCGGGACAGGGGTTGCTCCTCTGTTCTGGTCCTGTTAGACCTCTCAGCGGCTTTTGATACCATCGACCATGGTATCATGCTGCACCGGTTGGAAGAGTTGGGGATGGGGGGCACCGTGTTACGGTGGTTCTCCTCCTTTCTCTCCGACCGGTCGCAGTTCGTGTTGACAGGGGGGCAGAGGTCGACCTCGAGGCCTCTTATATGTGGAGTGCCTCAGGGGTCGGTCCTCTCGCCCCTCCTGTTCAACATTTATGTGAAGCCGCTGGGCGAGATCATCCGTGGCTTTGGGGTGAGATACCATCAGTACGCTGATGATACTCAGCTGTACATCTCCACCCCAGGCCACCCCAATGATGCCCTTGAAGTGATGTCCCAGTGCCTGGAGGCTGTACGGATCTGGATGGGGAGGAACAGGCTCAGGCTCAACCCTTCCAAGACTGAGTGGCTGTGGTTCCCGGCATCCCGATATAGTCAGCTGACTCCATCACTGACTATTGGGGGCGAGTCTTTGGCCCCCACAGAGAGGGCTCGCAATCTGGGAGTCCTCCTGGATACACAGCTGTCCTTGGAGGAACATCTGACGGCTGTAACCAGGGGGACCTTTTATCAGGTTCGCCTGATCCGCCAGTTGCGGCCCTTTCTTGATCGGGATTCCCTGTGCACAGTCACTCATGCCCTCGTGACCTCTCGCCTTGATTACTGTAACGCTCTCTACATGGGGCTCCCCTTGAAGAGCACCCGGAGGCTCCAACTGGTCCAGAACGCAGCAGCGCGGGTAGTGACGGGAGCAGCATGGTGCTCCCATGTAACACCGCTCCTGCGCGAGCTGCACTGGCTCCCAGTGGTCTTCCGGGTGCGCTTCAAGGTGTTGGTTATCACCTTTAAAGCGCTCCATGGCATAGGGCCTAGCTATCTCCGAGACCGCCTGCTGCCACCGACGACCTCCCATCGACCCGTGCGCTCCCACAGAGAGGGCCTCCTCGGGGTGCCATCAGCCAAACAATGCAGGCTGGTGACCCCCAGGGGGAGGGCCTTCTCTGTGGGGGCTCCCACCCTCTGGAATCAGTTGCCCCCTGAGATAAGGAGAATCCATGACCTCAGTGCCTTCCGCCGTGCCCTTAAAACCTTCCTTTTCCAACAAGCCGGGCTGGCCTAATTCTTTTTACATGTTTTTTAATTGTTTGGTTTATTGTTTTAATTAATGGGGCCAAATTTATATATATTTTTTAACTGTATTTTAATATTTGTATTTGATGTTTTTATTTGGCTGTTCACCGCCCTGAGTCCTCAGGGAGAAGGGCGGTATACAAATTCAAAAATAAATAAATAAATAAAATAAAGAGGAACAAATACAAAGCCATTTATTTGGGAAACAGAAATCAAATGAATAGACACAAAATGGAATGAGGGATACTAGTTTTGCTAACAGTAGTATTTAGGCTTATTAATAGAGATATATTTTTCACATTACAGGACATATTTCCATTTCATTCTGTGATGGATAGTAGACTCCATATTGAATATTATATGTTCAGCATTGAGGACATACCTTAAGGATTTAGACAAATTATACCAGATTTAGAGAAGGTAAATGATGATGACCAGTAACTAGGAACTAAATCCAATACTGTAAAAAATATTCATAGAATGGCTAGACTAAGAAGAGAAGATTCATGATGCCACTCTTCAAATACCTATAACAATTATAAGTCTGTCGCCTATATTTACAGAACAAAAAATAATGTAAATGACAGGACATCATATTTTGCCAAATGATATGAAAAAAATCTAAAAAAAGAATAATGCATCCCCTTCACCAGCTGTATTGAACCTCCTGGGGATACTTTATTTTTGGTTATTGTATGGAGCAAGGGCTGGGACTTGATAAACTAAACTTAACTAAACTAAGTAATCCATTATATGATTTTATACAATTATTTGCATAAATTCAAACATGAAATCAGTATGCATCATGTTCTGATTAAGCTCACCAATAAGCCATTTAATGGTAATATGGTAAATCAAATCAAAGAATTCATATTAGAATTTGGTTGATATACTGACTCTATGTTCCTAAGAATTTATTAATTTAGAGCAGATTATGAATACTTATTTAATGTGCAACTAATGAAAAACAAATGATGAATGTAAAGCTCAGTTCATCTTTTCTTTATTTAATTTATTTAATTTGATTTTGACTGTGCTCATCTCCAAAACAACCCTGGACAGCTCACAATACAAAATGGAATACAGAGACAGGAGGACAAATTTAATAGATACATTAAGAGAAATAACAGAATGATAATTTGGACAACAGTAGAAGTAGACATGGTTTATCATGGGACTACATTAGGGCATTTATATGCATGTACATATGCTGGTAGTAACAATAACTACATTATAGGTTATGTGCACCATATCTGGGCCATGGTTTTTAAATAATGCAGATGAAGCTGACAGATTACTTTTATTTTAGAAAGTACCTCATAGAATAATTGTTGTGGCAAAAAATAGGGGAAAGAAGTACTGCATCTGTCACCTTGAATTCTGTACAGAAAAAGGTAAAAGGTAAATCAAATAATACATTATGGCAAGAAATGTAATAATGTAAATTATCTAGACATTACATTAACAGAGCCACCTACTGGCAACTATTAAAATGTGCTAAATGTATTACTCTGAAAAGTTTATATTCAAAATTATTTAAGTCATTGCAGATAAATCACACAGTCACCTGTGTTTAAGGTAATGTATATTGTTCGCTAAATCGTGCAATCGATAAGTTATAAACTACCACTGCAGGTTTTTGCATGCCTTATTCAATTTAATTGTAACATGAGGAACCTAATTTCTAGCCAAGTATGTATACTTATATTGTAACCAATTATACAAACTAATGCTGCATAGAAATGTTCTTTGATTTATCATGAAAATGGTCATCTTCAACCTATTAAAAGAGAAGGTTAGAGTTTGTTTAATTGATGGCAATGTACAATTGACTAGAAACCCCAAATCCGTAAAACCCATACTCGGATTCCAACATTGCAACTTTTCTAAACTGGAAGCCTACATTTCCCAAACAGCAGTTCTTCCCCGAGGGTCCACTTCCGCCTAAAGAGCAATGCTTTCTGGGACATGCAGTCCGTGCCTCGGTATCAAATGAGACGGCCGCAATGTCGGATTCCACCCGTCGATGGTAACAGTGTATTGTAGTATTTGGGCATGCAAATTTCGTTTCCCTTTCCGGAAGCGGCGCCTGGGGAAGGGGGGGGTGATAAGTAACGGGAGCCGGAGTGGGTCAAAAGAATCGGTGGTAAGTCGAAACAGGATTTTTTTTCCCCCTTTTGGTGGGCGGGAGGAGATCTTCCTCGGTTTAAACTAGCTCCGGTGTCCTGGATGAAGGCGACCGGGACGGGATTCGAAGTCGAACCCCTCGATTCTTCGGAGTTCTCTTCGGGGAGGAAACAATCGATTCCGAACCCCGAGCGAGGCACTCGGTGCGTGGAAGATTCTTTTGCAAAGGGTGAATAATAATAATAATAATCTGAGATCGTGGGGTTCGGATGGAGCGCGGAGGAGAGAGTGGATCTCTGAAATTTCTGCAGGGGAAAAAAGCAGGGAAAAAGTTTTCTTATTCAGGAAAGGTCTGAAAGATTGGCTTTTTAAAAAGGGTGCCAAGAGTCGTCTAAAAAAAAAAAATCGCTTTTATTCTACAAGTTAAGGGGTTAGCTTTTATTCTACAAGTCAAGTTTTGATCATCTGGAGACTTCGTTGTGGGGGCAGCGTGTAGCAATGGAGCAAAGGCGAAGGAGTGTGTGTGTGAACGGGTTTAACTCGGAGGTTTTGTGTGTATGAATTAAATTCAATTGAAATTGAGGTAGAAGACTACTATGATTTTTCTGCAAATATGATAAGGTTTGGAAATTAAAGAGCAGTAATTCCAGGAATGAATTTCAATCTGAAGGCGGGGGAAATCTATTTGGTGTGGTGTTTTTTGTTTAAATGTGTTTTGAAAATGGGAAGTGTCTCGATCTCAATTAGAATGATTGTTTGGCAAGTCACTAGTAGGACATGGTAGTTTTTCTTCATATTGTGCTAAATGCTATGAATTTATTGCTTTTGGGCATGAACAGCTAGCCCTCAAATAAATCAAAGCAACAGCAAAAAAAAGTGCTGTTTTAATGTTTTAACAGCATTATATAAATATGGACAGAAGTGGCAAGGGTCTACTTATTTGGGGTTTTTTTAATCCTGGCAATGGTTTTTTAACCCTTCCAATTTTTGGATCTATATCTTGTACTGTCTTCTTTCTTCCCTGATAAATGGATTCACACAGAGCAGTTTAGTTGTAAAAGCTAAGTATGTGTATGTTTGAATGTGTAAAAAAAATCCGCACAAACTCTCCTTCAATGTTTTGGAGAAGTGGAGCCAAGGAGACATTAGATTTATAATAGTTTGCAAGTTCTCATCTTCTCTGGCCCTTCATGGTGAACTAATAAGATAGGAACGAAACAAAGAATCACAGTTACAGTACAATGAATATAAGATTAGTTGGGTTTTTCAACATTAATTCCAGTTGATTATATAGTAGATTTGCTTCTCATTTCCTTGCTCTATTCAACTTTCATTCCAGGAGTTTGAAAGAGAATGAAACAGAGGCTTGACAAGTCTCAGATTCAGTCTCTACTATATATTTTGCTTAAATCTTTCATTATTTGAACCCAAAAGTGAATTAGCATTTCATTTTTTTTCTGTATTACTCTACAATTTTATATCTTAAATGTGATGATTATTACATACATTGGACAAAATGTGCTTATTTTGAGTCTAACGCAAAGAGAAAGTTAAATTATGAAGCTTCAGGGCATTAGTAATGGCTACTCTCAAGTTAAAAAGAATGCACTATAGTGATCAATGTAATGATAAACACTGCATACTTGTGTTTTCCAAGATTACTGAATCCAACAGTACTTAATTTCCAAGGAAATGTATATCAAATTATAGGCTAATAAGTTATAATTTAAGTCTTGTCTTCTCTCATACTAAGTGCTCTTTCTCCTTTTTGAAGGTGGCTATCTTAATTTTTTTTAACAAAAAGGATGCAGTCCTCCATAAAAATCGAATTGAATTAATTGCCTTTGGTGTCAGCATACAGACTGACTTTCAAACTCACTTCTGTTGAGTTTCCATATAGATCACCTTATGTATGATCAGCTTAACTCCTAAACTATTGCTTGCATATTGCAGATCACATACATATTGCATATTGCTTTGACAAGAAAATTGGAAGGCATTTATCAGTTGATAAGTTCCTGAATAAAGCAATGCAGGTAAAACACACTAGCTAGGTTTTTTTTTAATCACTGGAATTTTACCGTCAGTTTGGCTATATGGAATTTTTGTTGCTCTTAATAGCCAAGTCCAAAATTGTTGATTGTAGAATTCTGTGAGACATAAAGCAAATTATACTTAAAGAGTATATAAGAACTAATCACGTTGAGTAAACTGATTGTTTAAATTAAAGAGTTCTAATCTATATAGCTATCCTCTTCAGTAAATGACTCAGGGCATTGTATATCATTAATAACAGAATAATCAATAGAAATCACAAAGTACTCAAAAATCTAAAGGAGCAGCATACAAACACATAGGTTCATCCAGGGGTCGTATCCCTACTAGACTCAATGTCTTTGGGGAAAAACAGGTCTTCAATGCCCTTTGAATCAATTCATGATTTTCACTTTGAATTTTTACAGTCCTAAATGATTTGCCAGAATACTTAATAAACCATCTAGGTCATTATGAACAAGTATAGATATAAAATTTTGCAGATGAGATTTTTCTAAAGATATGGGTTACTGGGGCATGCTAGAAATGGCCCTTTTGTGTTTCATTACAAAATTGCAGAATTCATTTCTTTTCTCTTGAGCATAATTTTTGAATCACTTGAATTATGGTTTGGATCATCCAATTTTAATATTGTATTATGTACTATTAAAGCATATTAATCTATTTCTTTTTTTAATCTATTTCTAATTTTAATTGGATTGTTATTTTGTAAGTGGCAAATTCCATTTATTAGCAGCAAACCGGGATAAAAAAATCTAGTAATCAAATAAGTAAAACATGATGAAAGGTCATCTTAGATTACTCTCTCCAATTCCAGGTTTGGACATTGGACAGTTTAGCTGAGGAATCTGCTCCTGTAAATACGAGAATTGAGGAGTTTTGTTTGGCTATTCAAGGCTTATTAAGAGACATGTTTTGGACAACTGGAAACATTAGGCTTGAATCTATCTAAGGAATGGTGAAATCAGGTGGTAATCCTGCAACATTTTCTACAATAAAGTTAATGGAACAGAAAACATATTTAAATTGGTAGAGAAAAGGAAAGTTTCTGCACAAGATCATTTAAGGCTCCGTGACATTCCTGAAAATAAACAGGAAGAGTTTCTCAGGTTCCTGACTTGCAGACCACTGAGATGTCCTTGACAGATCTGAGAAAGGCAATAAAAGAACCTCAGCAGAGAGATAAGTGGTTGTCTGCTACTAACACAACAAAACCACTAGGCTGTGGCATCTGATCCTATGTATGCAAAAGTCAGTCCCTGTCGTCCCCCCCCCCCCAGCTATGTAAACACAACTTGTGATATGGTGTTTTTTAAAAGGTGCTGATGTGCTTCACAGGTTTTCATGCAGCATGGTTCGAGTAAAAGACAATTCCTGTGCCTTAGCAAAAGGACCAGTTTTTAGAAAAAGTTATATCAGTTGGGTAAATATTTGGCGTGAAAGATAACTTGGCAAAGTAGAAAGGCTAATCCTGATACATTAAATAACATATCTGGGTGTGTGGTAAGTTTCGTTCTCTTAAAGCTGTTTTGGGTTAGTCTTGCACAACAAAATGTTTCTGTTTCTGTCTTTCTTTCTTTCTTTGTGTTTCTTACTTCCTTTAAGCACGTTCTTCTTTTTATTTGCATCTCAACCTCTTCTGCGTCATGCAGATTTGGATTGGGAAAGAACCCAGCTTTTTAAAATAGAGCATTAATATTGATAAGCCTGGGGTTTTTCTGCGAACTGAATAGGCATAATATAAAATGGTGTCCCTTGCACAGCAATTCAGATATTTTCCTCTGCTTTCCAATTAGCCTTTCGGTGATCTCAGTTCCACAACCACACATACACACTTGCCGGATAGTTTATTGTGGAGTACAAAGCAGTTGGAGGACATTATGTTTTATTTAGCTTTGCAGGATAATTTTACCGTTGTATATTTGGAATCAAATGTTTTTTATTATTTATTCATAGAACTTACAATTGGTTTTCTCTATGCAAATGGATGTTCTTGAGATTTTATTTCTCTTTCTGGTCATAATGGATGCAAGTACCTAATAAGACAAGCATCCAGTTCTGTCCTGAGTAACAATGGCTGGGCTTACGTCCTTTCCTTTTGCAGGAACAAAGTCATTAAGGTTCTTGAGATAGTGATGGCTATTCCTCATGAATCTGAATATGGAGGCCACTGGGGCAGATGAAGTAGAGAAAATAAAATCAAAGTTTATCTCTGCATGGAATAATATGAAATATGGTAAGTTATATGTAATTGACTTTTTAAGCCTTATTTTAAAAAGTTAGCAAAATAATGCAGCCTAGCTTTTGCTGACCATTAATATATTTACTCAAATGACTGAAATATGCTAACTCTGTTTAAGGTTATTATTGCTGGTTCAAGTGAAACACATCAATAATGTATTTGTTCAGAAGAGATAATGAGGGAAGAGATAACGAGGGAGAAAAATAGTCAATTTCAGGCTTTTAGGCTTCATGATTTAATTTTGAATGAACTCATAAGCAGCCAAATGTGTAAAATATTTCAGTTCTACTTTTAATTAATTACAGTTTAGTATCGTATTGAAATTAATGCTAGGAGCTAGTCTCTGAAATTCTGAAGGCAGGGAAGGTAGTGGAGAATTTTTTTACTTGGATTAAACCAACAATTTATTAGTGGCATAAATTTAAAATATTTCAAAAATAAATGTGGATAATATATTTAAAAATTGGGGAATAGAACTGGAGAATCCTACTTTGGGTAGTGAATGGTTTAGCTATATATATACATACACTTTCTGGGTTTATTGGACATTAAGAGTTGCTTGATGGTGAGATGGGCAATATATTAATTTAATAAATAACTAATCCAAGAATGTTTTTAAAGGATGACTGTCATGTTTTCTATGCCAAAGATGCAATAAATTTGAAGGAAGTTTGATAGTTATGTTATAGGTATGTCTACTTGCAATTCTTTATTAGATGTTATTATAATGAAGCAGGAATTTGGCAGGCATTTACAAGACAAAAGTGTCAGTAAAATAGTAAATTATGTACTAGAAATGTGTAACATCTTGATTCAGAAAGAACTTTTGATATATTGGACTGTTAGAAAAAGGTGACTATTTACTCCTGAAATAAAACTTGTGTGCCAAACTATAAAAGTTGTTGTAATGAAATTTGTCAGCTTTCAGCCTTTGAATTAACTTTGTATTGAAGAACAGATGAGACCAGACAATAAGATTCTCTATGTTCTAGTTTGACTACATTGTTTAAAAATTGAATCATAACAAAGAAAAACAACAAAGTATAACCTTGACACTCCAACTGTCTGATGTATTTGTTAATGGCATTTTTGTGTGTGTTGATTATTTTTGCTTAGTTGCTCAGTTAAAGGTTTTCTCCCAACAGGCTTTTTAATCTATTCACGCTTTTTCTTCTTCTTTTTCTGCTTTTTAAAGTTTTTCCTCCGAGTGGTTCCCTACATGTTGAAATGTTATTTGTCTCTTTTTATCCTGCTTTTATTATTTTTGTAAAGGACTCAAGGCAGCAAACATATCTCATGCTCCTTCCTTCTACTATTTGCCCCACAACAACACTGTGAGGCGAGTTGGGCTGAGAGAGACTGATGGCCCAAAGTCACCCAGCTGGTTTTTCATGTCTAAGGCAGGATTAGAATTCAGTCTCTTAGTCTCTAGTCTGGTGCCTTAGCCACTTCTTTACTGTAATTGAGGCAGGAGTAGGGGTAAAAAAATCAAGATGATGCCTGTAGGGCGAATTATGCTATCGTTCAGCGCTTCTACAAGCTCCAAAGAAAAGATGCTGTTGCCATGTTCTCCCGGTGCTGGAAGAACATTATTGCACAGTAGCAGTCCTTCATCTGTACCACCTGAGATGAACAAACATTGATCAGCAGTTTTTGAGTTGCCTAAAACAATCAATGATGTTCAACCGGCACAACCACCTGCATTTTTGTGGTCACTCCTGGAAGTTATTTCTCTGTTAGAAGTCACCATGGCCTTACAGTCTAGGAAGTCCAGTACAGCTGGCCTGAACCGTATTTCTGCTTCTGATCTCCTGACAATATACCAGCCTTTACTAGCAGCTTATTTCAACTTGCTATTGGCAGTTGGTGGTCTGCCTGCACATCTGGTTTGCTCTCAGGTGGTTTTTCTGCAAAAGACGTAAAATCCATTAAGTCCGGGAGATTATCAACTCCTTGCTTCTACCATTCTTTGTGCTGTTCACAAGATTCTTGCTTAGCACTTCTGTGACAAGCTTCAGTTCTCCTCTTTCCAGCCTGCTTTCTTAAAGAGGGATGACTGTCTCAAGGCAATGACCTTCCTTCATTCTATTTTCTTGGAGGGTCCATAATAACCAGGTCCTTGTGCGGTGTTATTTTTGGATGTCACCAAGGCGTTTAACAGCATGTCCCATCAGACGCACTTCTGTATCACTGTCATGGCCCCATCAGATCCTGGTTCGGGGGAAGAGGAAGAATTGGAACTGGGACCATCCAACAGGGATTGCACATCTTCCTTGGAACTTCTGGAGAGTCCAAGAGCAGTGGGGGGGGGGGAAGGAAGTGGTTGATCAGATGTGGAGCTGCCTGCCTTCATGAATGTAGGGGAGGTTCAGCTGCAGACAGGCAGCGGTGATGACAAATCCTGGCTGCCTCCCCCACCCAATCCGCGGATGCTGAGAGTGGAGCTCAGAGGAGGTCTGCAAGGTTGCTCACAAGGAGGCTGTCCCATCCCTCTTCACAAGAAATAACTGGCTCAGGGTGATTTAATCAGAGGCTGGGGGAGGGTGCATTCATTGGGAACAGTTATTTGTCTTGGCACACACTCCTCTGACTTTTGGAAACCTTGACTCCTGTTTCAGCCTCTGGATTTGCATACCCTGCTTTGCAGACTGACTCTGGATTGTGACTTATGGACCTTGTTTTGCAACTCGGCACTGGATTTTTGGGCTTTGACTTCCTGTTTGGGGGCTTGGTTCTGGTGGCTCTTGGATCCAGCTGGTGGAACTAAATTACATTGCGGTTGTTTTGTAAGGAATAGTAAAGTGGAATTTTACCAACATGCCTGGAGGGCCCATTTGTCTTGTTTAGCTATGCAGTAAATTATTTTATTGGTGCCTGCATCTACCTATGCGACCTGAGTCAGAACAGTTGCTTCCACTGCAGAACCTTTATCTGAAGAATCTGTGTCAGTGTTCTATGGTGCAGCTTGCAGATATTTCTATCAATGTGGAAGGGATGTACATCAAGACACTCGTCTATCCCCACTCCTAATGATAATAATCAATGACATCTTGCAAGCTTCATTGTCTGACATTGGTTTCAACTTTGATAACCAGTGGATTAACTGTCTATCTTAGGCCAATGACCTGGTTCTTCTGGCAGAGAAATCCACCAGACTGCAGGAAAAGTTTGACTGTGTATCTAGAGCTATCCATTCAGCCAGTATGTCATTGAATGTGAAGAAGTTCTTTGGCCTCATCATCACCAAAGGCAGGAAGCGGAAATATATGGCCCTATTATACCAACCTCCTACTACTTTGCGGCACCACCATTCGCCCCCTAGGCCCCTGATCACTTGATCCGATACCTAGGCCTCCAGTTTAACTGGAAGGGATGCGTCATTCCCAAACATACCAACATCCTGGATTGTATGTTGCAAGAAATTTTTGAGGCACCCCTTAAGCTGCACTAACAGTTTAGGCTGCTGCAATCTTATTTGGTGCCAAAATTTATTCACAAGGTTGTTCTTGGTCAATCACATCATAACACGTTAAAGAAGCTGGACTGTTTGGTCCGTTCCACAGTGAGACACTGGCTGCAAGTACTAAAGGATACTCATTTGGGATACCTCAGTTCCAATGTCAAGGACGGGGCTGGGCGAGTTCCCTGTTTCTTCACCTCTATCCTGCTTCTACAGAAGGCCCGGCTTGAGAAAATTGCATCGAATTCCACCACACTGCTTAAGTCATCTAGCAACAAGACGCATTTTGCTCCCTTGGGAGCCAAATAAAGCCATGCAAGATGACTATCGTCATCACCTCTAAAGCAAAAATGTGGACTGAGAGGAGTGGAGAAATGCTGTCGCCCAATCCCATCAACGACCAAGCGTTGAGCATCACTGACATTTACAGAGCCAGTCACGAGTAGTTGTTGCACCCTTCCTGGGTGTTCCCTTGCTTGTATTTATGGGGCATCCAATTGAGGGGCAGTCTACTCGCTACCAAGTCGAGGAATGCCATCTTCTCGACCTGTCATCAGTTGGTTGATTAAGAGCTGCAGAGGCACCTGTGGTGCTCCTGAAACTTTGAATCACATACTGCAAATCTGTGAAACTACCCATGATGCAAGATGTGCACATCACAATCATGTTTTCTGTCACTTGGAACAATTTTTGCAACAAGACAGCATCTGCTCCTGAGTTGTGAGACTATTATAATATCATCAAACCAGATTTAGTTGTGGAGAGGTCTTAACAACTGAGGGTTTTAGATGTTTCTGAAGTTTCTGGTTATAGATGGATGGAGTCCTGGGACTTTTAAAATTGCTAAGTATGGTCATGCTAACTGTGTCAAAGATCTTCTGAGCTGGGTGGGCTCTTCTGCTCAGGTGTACCACCTGCCAGTCATCATTTCTAATCAGGGACTGATCCATCGGGTAGTAGTCTTTGGGCATTGGGGATATCAAAGACCTCTATTTACTAACCATTAGCGGGTTGCTCAAATGCTACAATTTATATATTCGTGGGACTAAGATTGGCTGCATTTGATATTTTTATGAACAATCTCAAACTGGTAAGGAACATTTGTGTATTGCAACCTGCTGTGCAGTAATTCCTCTTGCCGGACTGTAAAATAGCAAATTTTCACCTTAAAGCAGAGGTCTTCAAACTTGGCAGCTTTAAGACTTGTGGACTTCAAGTCTTAAAGTTCAAGTTGAAGTCCACAAGTCCTAAAGCTGCCAAGGGTTGGGTCAAGCTTAAAGGGTTGACTTGTGGAGGGAAGGGTGGTTTGTTGCAAATTCCAGGTTCTTCTATATCATTGACCTGTCTAATAATAAATGATACCTAGTTTCTAGCCTGGTGCTTTAACTACCTTTTGGGTAATTGAGATGGGCACAGGGTAAAAAAAATCACGATGGTGCCGGTACTCGTGCAATCAACACCCTGCTTCAATGATTGCATGTAAAAAGGGGCTAAGTTTTAATCCTGTGGCTATTATCTTGACAGTGAGCATGGGAGGTGGTGGGGGGAGATGCCTTTTTATTAGATACATGTATGGTTTTCATGTAATGTTGCTTTGATATATAGTGAATTTTAAGAAATGTTAATTGTAACTTCTTAAAACTTAATTTTTAAAAAAAGAGAAACTCTGATTTAAAGAATGAAAGAAAAATACTTGTTTAGAGAATTAAATTGGCTTGAGGCTTAATTATGATATTTTGAAAACTAAGCCACACTTCCATTTTGCTCCCATCTTTAAAAGATGCTAGAATGTGTTTCAGATTAAAATGGAAAGTTATTATTTTTAATTTCCTTGATTAGTTTTTTTACTCAATCTAGATGAAGCAGCTTTTTTTTTAAAAAAAATCTATGTTTGTCTTTGTTTGTAGGCTGGGTACTGAAAACCAAAACTTACTTTAGCAGAAATTCTCCTGTCTTTTTGCTGGGAAAATGCTACCATTTCAAGAGCGATGGTATGTGTATCTAATTTTAAATTGGTTTTTGTTCTGATATTTATGTAACAAAGCCTTGGATTTTACTTTTGTGGGAGCTTCTGAAAATACTTGAGTATTAGATCAGTTCAGATATATGCTTACTTCCTGAAGGGGAAAAAAAAGACTGCAAAAGAAGTTGGAAACATACACAAATCCTTAAGGTGACCTTTGAATCTGTTCTGAGCAGGATAAAAAGACTGTTTCTGTTCTGACAGGTCTTTCCCATGAAAAGATTTTAGGGTTACGACTGCTTTTATAATCAACTCAAAGCTGTGCTTTGTCTGGATTTATCTTCTGAAGAGTAGAGTATAGAAACTTTTAACAAGGTCCTTGAACTCTACTAAGAGAACATATCCTTACTGTTTACTGAAAGCTGTTTGTTTTATCTTTCTTCCATTGGCTGAGTCTGTAAATGCTATCTTTTCTTACAATAGGATGTACCATGTTAATAAACTGGGGATAATGTGTTCATGTTTTCACTTCTTTTCCTGTGCACTGCTCCCACTATCCATGGATGGGTTAATGCTTCAGCCTTTGGCAAACAACTGAGTGTTCTTTTAAGACAAAAAAAAACCCCAAGGGACTTCCCTTTTTCCCCACTGTCTGGCCACACCCCCAGTCCCATGATACCCCAGTCTTCGCTCAGTTGTTTGGCAACGCTGAAGTGTTCTCCGGGAGCTCCTGCCTTTGAGGTATTGTTCCCTTATTTTCTGTGTGTTTTCCTTTCAGTTTCTTTTCACCCTCCCTCAGGGACGCTTAGGATTTATTTTATTTTTGAGTATCTCTTTTCCCCGGGGTTTCTTTTTGTCGAATTTTTTTTTGATTTTCTTTTGAACCGCTGCTTGCAGCAGCAGCGCTGATCAGCTGGGCGCCGGATCGGAAAGCCGAGCCACCCACGTTTCACATTTACACTCGGCGCTGAGTTCAAACCTGCTAGAAGCCTCGCCGAAGCAGCCAGCAGCCGCGCGGGGCGAAGAGAAGGGCGAGCGGCTCGGATTCACGCTGCTCGCGCCAAACAGGGCAGCGTGCAGCCGCGGTTCGCCCAGCTAGCCCTGCCAGCCGCCGCCCCGCTACAGGAAGGCCCCGTTTCGAGCAGCAAGAAGGCACGGCAGCTGGCTGGACCCTCGGGCCTCCAGCATAAGACCGTTGCCAGCGGAGGGCAACCGAGCCCAGCACCACGTGGTGCCCGCCATCTTGGAATCCACGCGGGCCGCCATTTTGGGGCAGAGGCTTCCAACGGCGCATAGAGGCTCTGCTACGCTCTCCCTCCAGGGCGGTACTGCCACATTAAAGGTTAGCTGGTGAGACCTTTGGGCTCTCAGCTGCCTTCTCTCGACTTACGGGGCAGAGCGGTCAAGCCTCACCAGTAACAACGCCTGACGTGGAGATTGCTGGCACGAGCGGAAAGGGGTGGTCTTGCTCTCAACAACTTGCCATGTCTGACCCCCCTTTCTCCTCAGACTCAGAACTGGATGTGAGCCCACCTCGCAAGGGGGCCAAGTCCTCCAAGAAGAGTGCCCGGAAGCGGTCTGAAGGTACCGACCGCAAATCCAAATCCGGAAAGGGGCTGACCTTCCAAGACAAGGACGCCCAAAGACACCATCAGGCGCTTGAGAGGCAGTGCGCTAAGGCCCAAAGGGCACTGGAGTTGTCACCCACCAGGGGGCCAAGACCAGAGAGCGCTGCGTCTCCCACGCCTAGGGAGTCAGACCCAGCACTGGCCACCTGGACAGAGTTGGCCCAGACCCCGGCGACCCCGATCATAACAGAGAGAGGGACCCAACAGGATGGAACTCCCACCCCTGCACGGAATGGACCGGCACCCTTCTCTCCGACAGGTCTGTCCCGCGGCCCAAGTCCGGGCACAGGAGCGCAAGGGGCACTGCCACCGCCCGCACAGCTGGATTTCCAAGCCATGTTCTCCACGGCATTGTCATCCTTCTTAGCCGCCAGTTGGCAGCAGGCGGTACCACCTCCTCAGCCGGCACAGGTCCAGGGACCACACCAACAGGTCCAGAACAAGACCCACGCTCCCCCAGCACTAGAATCCTCCGAGGAATCAGACCAAGCAGACGAGGCCCCTGAGGATGTCGAGTTCTCAGAAGACGAAGGGCTCAACCCGGACACACCAGCCTTCACCGGACTCTTTCGACCGTCACTATTTAGGTCACTCCTCCACAAGGCGAGACTCACAACTAACCTGGGAGTACCGGGGGAGGTAAAACCAACCCCTCCTTCTACAGCAGGGCCCCACGATGCCCTCTTCAAGTCATCCAAACAAGAGAAGGACTGCATCCCCTGTCCTCAACTATTTACTGATGTCATCCAAAACGCCTGGGGGCAACCAGCCTCTCAAACTACACCGAGTAGCTTAGACAAGAAACTTTACTGCTCGGCCCCTGAACTAGAGGACTTGCTACTCCTCCCGACTGTGGACCAGCTGGTCGCAGCACTCTCATCCCCATCATTAGTTTCCACAGAGGCACTGGATGGGCTCAAAGCAGAGGAGAAGAGGACGGAGTGGGCCTTCCGTAAGGCACATCAGGCAGTGGCCTGGGCGATCAGAACGCTTCTGATGCCTCCCTGAACTTGGCAAAGTTTGCCTCAAGGGCCCTAGCCTCCACCGTTACGGCTAGGAGGCTTTTCTGGCTCCGCCCCTGGAAAGCGGACCTCAAAGCTAAATGGAAGTTGGCCGCGGCTCCCTACAAGGCTCCAAACCTCTTTGGAGCAGCCCTGGATCCTGTCCTAGTCGAGGACAAGGACAAGAGGAAGATATTACCATCGTCCTACCGCCGCCACGAGCGGAGGTACTCGCCATATCCAGTCCAACAGCTCTTTCGCCCCGGCTCAGGGCCCAGGGGTCCTTCTCGCAACGCTCCAATTACCTGGGAGGCGACAGATCACAAGACAGACAACACCCCCGAGACCGGGGCAGGAATCAGCAATCCAGGAGACCCTTCCGGGGGGCAGGCTTCAAACCCACCAGGAGGGGCAAGTGACTCCAGGACCGAGGGGCTCATAGGGGGAAGACTGCTCCTCTTCCACTAGCAATGGGCCCGGTCGACATCGGACTCGTGGGTAAGGCACACCATCTCATTTGGACTATCAATAGAATTTGCAGCTGCGCCGCCTCAGCGCTTCATGCGGTGCCCTGTCCCACAGTCCTCCGAGCTGCAGGCCCTAATGTTACAAGAACTGACCCACCTCCAGGAGGTCAGAGCTATAGAGACAGTACCACCGGCCCACCAGGGCTCCGGGTTCTACTCAAGCCTATTCCTCGTCCCCAAGAACTCGGGGGGATGGAGGGCCATCCTGAACCTGAAAAAGCTGAATCTGTTTGTGCGATACCACAAGTTCAAAATGCACTCACTACAGTCAATCCTAACGGGGGTGAGACGGGGGGACCTCCTCCAGTCAGTCAATCTTCGGGAGGCCTACCTTCACGTCCCCATTCACCCAGACCACAGACAGTTCCTGAGGTTCGAGTACGGCGGTCAGCACTTTCAGTACCGGGCTATGCCCTTCGGACTGTTGTCGGCACCCCGCACCTTCACCAAACTGGTGGCGGTGGTGGCAGCCAATCTTCGAGCCTTCCCAGTCCGAGTCCTCTGCTACTTAGACGACATCTTGATACTCTCGTCAACTCACGACCAGGCAGTCAGGGACCGTCACCTAGTCCTCGAGACGTTCCAAACCCACGGGTTCACAATCAACCTCGAGAAAAGTCACCTCCATCCCTCTACTCAGATCCTACACCTGGGGGCTGTGATAGATTCCACCAGAGGTCAGGTCTTCCTATCGCCGGACAGGGTCCAGAATCTCCAGCAACTGGCCCTCCGAATCCGGACAGGGAGGAAGGCCACCCTCCTACAACTATCATGCCTGCTGGGGAAAATGGTTTCCTGTTTCGGCATCATTCTGTGGGCACGCAAACACTCGAGGGCCCTCCAATGGTTCCTGCTCCCCTTCCAACGCTCGGGGAGGGCAAACTCGAAGCGCAAAGTTCCCCTCACCCCCAAGGTGAGACTCTCCCTCAAATGGTGGACATCCAGTGCACTCTCCAAGGGTTCAGAGTTCCTAGACCCGGACAGACTGATCCTCACCACGAATGCAAGTCTTCGGGGGTGGGGAGCACACCTGCACAACGGGGTGGCACAGGGCCAGTGGTCCAGGTCCGAACAACACAACAGCATCAACCTGCTGGAACTCCGGGCGATCAGATTGGCCCTGTGCCACTTCCAGGCTACGGTGCAGGGCCGGCACGTGCTGGTCCTGACGGACAACATCTCAGCCAAGGCGCACGTGAACAGAGAGGGGGGCACGAGATCTCGCACCCTGATGCTGGAATCAGAGGCCCTATTCGAGTGGGCAGAGAAACACCTGCTATCGATCAAGGCAGACCACATTTCAGGGTCGGCCAACGCAAGAGCAGACTGGCTTAGTCGAACAACGATAGATCAGGCGGAATGGCAGCTCCACCCCCGCCTCTTCAGCAAGCTCACCGCCAGGTTCGGGAGACCAGTGGTGGACCTGTTTGCGTCTCCAACCAACGCCCAGCTCCCTCGATTCGTGTCACGCTACCCGACGCCACAAGCAGAGGACCACGACGCCCTACACTGCAAGTGGCCAGCAGGCCTTCTTTATGCGTTTCTGCCAATCCCGTTGATTCCACGCCTGGTTCGAAAGTTGCTGGCAGAGAGGGCCAATCTACTCCTGGTGGCCCCAAACTGGCCTTGAAGGCCGTGGTTTGCCGACCTGGTGGCCCTGTCGGTGGAACAGCCGTGGGTGATCCCGCCACACCAAGTGGTACTGTGCCAGGGCGAGGTCAATCATCCAGAACCTCAGTGGCTTCAATTAGCCGTCTGGCACTTGAGCGGGTCATCCTGAAGAAGGACAACTTACCCGATAGCGTCGTCAGCACCATTCAGGCAGCCAGGCGCCCGTCAACAACTCGTATTTACGAGGCATCATGGAAGGCCTTCTGCAGCTGGAGTTCCGGTCACCACGTGGACCCCACCACGGCAACAATTCAAGACATTTTAAGTTTCCTACAGGCCGGGTTAGACAAAGGGCCGGCCCCTGCTACCCTAAGGCATCAGGCTGCAGCCTTATCAACGGTCATATCATGTCCACCATACCAGACTCTATCACATCATCCACGTATCAGAGGGTTCCTTCACGGGGCTACGAACCTGCGCCCACCGGCGGTGCACCGTTACCCAACCTGGGACCTGTCCCTAGTCTTACGGGCACTGACAGGCCCTCCCTTCGAACCTCTGGACTCCGCCAGCCTCAAACACTTGACATCAAGGTGACCTTTCTACTAGCGATCACCTCAGCAAGGCGAGTCTCAGAGTTAGTGGCTCTTTCCATTCGTAGGGACCTCTGCATTTTCAGAGAGTCCTCGGTGGTTCTCCGTCTAGACCTGACCTTCATCCCAAAAGTGAACTTCTGGTTCCACCGGGCACAGGAACTTACCCTGCCGGACTTCTGCCCATTGCCAAAAGACCACAGGGAGAGACGGTGGCACACCCTGGATGTTCGTCGAGCAATCCGGACGTACATAAACAGGACAGCCTCCTTCCGTCGCACTGAAGCGCTCCTGGTCTCGTTCAACCCGGCCTCCATTGGCCAGAAGATCTCGGCCCCCACGGTCAGCAGATGGATCAGGGCCTGCATTGCTTTAGCTTACGACGTAAGCTCCAGGCCGCTACCACACAACATTCTCCCCCATTCCACTAGAAGCGCGGCCACGTCAGCAGCCTGGGCTACACAGGCTTCAGTAGCTGATATTTGCAAAGCTGCAACCTGGTCCTCGTTGTCGCCCTTCATTCGGCACTACAAGATAGACGCTTATGATTCAGCCGAGGCGGCATTTGGCTGCCGGGTACTCCAACGGGTTGTGACTGGAGAGGACTCTGCGGGCAGTCAGCCCCCCGCCCTAGGGGTTTAAGCTTGGGTATATCCCATCCATGGATAGTGGGAGCAGCGCACAGGAAAATGGACGTTGTCTTACCTGAACGTCCCTTTTCTGGGCGCTGCGTACACTATCCATTCCCGCCCGTATCTATGGGCTGCCTGCCCAACTGTGGGGGGGTTTGTTTCCGTTATTCAGTTTGGTCATGTTAAATCTGTTTAGTTAATAAAGTTATGATTGTTACTACACCATTGGTTTGTCAAGGGTTTTTTTTCGCCACATCCTTGCTCAGACGGGGGTATCATGGGACTGGGGGTGTGGCCAGACAGTGGGGAAAAGGGGAAGTCCCTTGGGGGGTTTTTTTGTCTTAAAAGAACACTCAGTTGTTTGCCAAAGGCTGAAGCATTAACCCATCCATGGATAGTGTACGCAGCGCCCAGAAAAGGGACGTTCAGGTAAGACAACGTCCATTTTACAACATTTACGTGTGATGTCTCTCTTTCAGAGTCCAGTGACCAGTCACCAAATGGTTCCTGTGATGACATGACAGAAGAAAGGTTTTCCAGAAACGTTGAAGAGTTCCGTAAAGACTTTATTTCTAGGATATGGTTGACTTACAGGGAAGAATTTCCCCAAATCAAGGGTTCAGTTTTAACAACAGACTGTGGCTGGGGCTGTACCTTGAGGACTGGCCAAATGCTTCTGGCTCAAGGACTTATTCTCCACTTTCTTGGTAGAGGTAAGTTACCAAGATTTTTGTGGACAAAAGTGTTTATGTTTCATAAATCTTAAATTTGAGGAGGCTTCTCATATCAGAGTTTCTAACCAGCACAGACAGCTTACTCTGAAAGAGTTTAAATATAAACTATTTAATTTCAGTTAAATCTTAGTACAATCTCATAGATATGCTAACCTTTTTAGTTAATGTGAAATTATAAGGACAAAATATTTGACAATAATTACCATACTTTTTTTCGTCTTGAAAGGGTTTCTTGTGGCTGTTGTTACATTGCTGACTTAAGCTCCATATTATTGTACATTTATGCATTTAGTGTAATCGAAACGCTTATTGTAGGGTTGCTAAATTGCAGCATTTTCTTATGGAATAGCTAACTTTAAATCTTTAATATGAAACAGGCAACAAAGAGTAGAAATCTTAAACAAGTTAATGTCATACTGTAACCTTCACTAACCTATAATATAATATGTTTTTAATCCTATCATAGATTGGACTTGGGCCAATGCCTTTGTTTTCGAGAATCCGGAGTCTGAATCATGGACAACTCAGACAGTAAAAAAGCTCACAGCATCTCTTGAAACATCACTTATAGGAGAAAGAGAATTCAGGAACCAGTCAAATCATCCTAAAAATCCAATACACATTCGAGAAAGTGAAGAAAGTGTGGAGGAGCAGTATCATCGAAGAATCATATCTTGGTTTGGTGATTCCCCACTTGCCAATTTTGGCTTGCATTGGCTGATAGAATATGGAAGGAAGTCTGGAAAAACAGCTGGAGATTGGTATGGGCCAGCAGTGGTAGCACACCTTTTGAGGTAAAAACAAAATTCTTGACAGAACAAATTTGGTTAAAAACAAGTCTTTTAAAAATGGGTCCCGATTATTTATAATTCAAGCATGAAAAAACATCACAGAAACATGAAAAGAATATTGAAGAACCTCTGTCCAACTTCTGATTCCTGAAATGTTCCCATGGGGCCTCGAGACAAGATGTATCACAAACTTAGCCTTTAACTACAGTATCTTTAATGATACGTTATAAAAGCTAGAACCATAGACTTCCTGTTTTAGTATACTGATGGTGTAATGAGCTGCCAGAGATTAAAACTGATGCTTTCAGTGTTTTTTTTAAAATATATCAAATTCTTGTGAGATGTTCAATGTATAGGTTTAGTAATAATTACATCTAAATAAAAGTAAAGGGTCTGACATTCAGCCTAGTCTTTTTATATGAAAGTCAAATTTCTGAGTACAGATTGTGATTATATGCCATTGTTTGAGACTATTTTTATAGTTTTATGTTTTGCAATTTTACACAGTCTTCTAATGAGAAGAATCTAAAATCCAGGTGTAATTTTATATATCTGTGAAAATGTAGGGTGCACATGGTTATATATAGCAAGAACGGTCTCCTTGAATGAAACTTAAAATAATGTAGTTGTTTAAGAGTTGAAGTTATTTATGTAGCCTATTATATTTGTAAAAGTAACTAATTAAATTAGCATTAGAAATTTGTTAACTTTTCCCCCACAGTTTTGGTTGATAATTTACATACTCAGTTGGCATATAAGTTCTGTTCTTTCCCTCTTCAAGTTTAGAGTTAAAAATTTCCCTCTTCAGGTGTAGAGTTAAAAGTAAAAATTTGTGCTTCTTTGGAATTGTTTTATATCAAATAGTAACAAACTTATCCATCGTGACATGGAAGCCATTAAAATCATCCATCCATTTAAGAAAGCAGGTGGAATGTTTAGATTTTTGTCTTGGAATTGTTTCATTGATTTGCTCTTTGCTCTTATGTCTATACATAGATATACTTCTCCAGTCACACTACTCTGCAGGCTATATATATAAAACACAACCAAAATGCCACTGTCCCTCAATGGCAGCTTAGGTCCCATGTCCTCCAAATAATTTTGATGGCCTCAAAGAAGGCCAAGAAGGATGTTCCAAAGCATCTGGATTATCATGGAAAAGCAAGATTTTAAGTCATCTCACTTGAGATGGAAGTGAGCACTAAGCAGTATCTATTCTTGTGCATTTCATTCAAACAGTCTAATACTACTTGTGAATCTTATGACCCTGTCCACTTTTTGTTTCTTTGTACCTATATGGATACAACATGATAAATCTAATACTGTATTGGTCTTTAAAAAAAACACCTTCATATTTTACAGTCTAAATTGCAAGTGTTTACATTTGTAATCTTTTAAAGCTAGCTTTTCAAAATTTTGTGACCTTTTTCTAGAAAACATTTCCTGAGGACTGTGTATCTTTAATTCTCTTTGCTCCTTATTTGAAATGTGTCTGTCGTGTATACTTTTAGGAAAGCAGTTGAAAAAGCAAGGGATCCTGAATTACAAGGAATAACCATCTACGTTGCTCAAGACTGTACAGGTAAGAGGAAGTATATTATATGCTTGATCATCCTTCAAAGTATTTCCCAAAATTTATTGACAGCCTGAAAGTGTAATATTAGAATCAAAGGTTCTTAGATGAATAGTTTCTCGTGGTGTAAGGTTGTCTTTTAAAATTAGACAGGGAGTGTTCCATCTTATATAATTCTTAAAGAATTATATTCTTGTATTTACAGACTTATAGTCTTGTAGACTTTTATATGCCTAGCCTACAAAAAGAAACGTGTGTTTATTAAATTATTTATGATTTTCTATATCAAGCCATTACAAAGTACATCTGACAGAATTTTCTGTTCAAAACATAACACATTTTAAATAAATTTAACAGTAATGTATGGTTGGTTCAGTGTTTGACTGAAAAAGCAAGCAAATCTTTTGGTATTTTACTTAGGAAAGTAAAGTACATTAGGATCACATGAGCCACTTAACTGGGTCACTGTGGAATGTGGGATGTTGCATCAAAACCAACAGTGAGTTTATTGATCCACTAACCCCGAGGACACTAATTGTAGCTCAAAACAGAGCTGTGTCTGAACTTCTAGTGAACAAACTTCCCCTGTGCCACCTACACCCCTTATGGAGTATTAACTATCTTTTATGATATCTGTAAAAAGGGATAGAAACACATGGGGATAAATTCAGGATCTGCATTCCTGGAATTTAATTTCTTTTTGCCTTCTGGAAGGGAAGCAAACCATTGGGTTAGCCCAGCGTCTGGAAAAGGACAGCACGTTGCAAGACTTAAGAATCCTAAGCAATGATAATTTCTGCATGGACTTCTAAATGTTTAAATAATATTTGAAAAAGAAATGTGACTGAAATAATGTGGATGCATATTCCGATTTGCCTAGCAGGCTGTGTATGTTCTCAATTCCTTTAAAGACTGCCATAAAATGGTCTTCTGAACTCATTCTCATTGGCTGCATTTTGGACTCATTCTTTTTTTCTTGTAATATGTTAAGTGGGTTTTTTTCCCCCTCTTATCTCTTGCCTACATAAAATAATTGTGCTACTGGTCTTGGAGGTGAAAAGTTTAATGCAGAATCCCAGCAGTATCTGCAAAGAATGTGGGTTGGGGGTCCAAGTCAACAAGATATTTTGTTGTAATCAAACAACCCTGTCTCTTTTATTTGTGAATTGATGTTGTAAGTACAAAAGGGATGGGCTTGTATAGCAACATTCATCTGCCATCCTGTCAGTTTTCACACACATACGCATGGTACAGGCCCCTGTTAAAGCCATCACTGGTTGGTGGCATTTGTTGCATTTTCACATATCAATGCACACCAATAACATTGACAAGATGGTTTTTCTGCTTAGAAACTTTTCCTTATAAGATGTTTTGATGTACTTGACAAAACTCAGTTGGTGCTTAAAATACATTTCAATAACACTTTCTTTCTGTTTCTCTTTCAAGTTTACAAGTCCGATGTTATTGATGCTCTCTGCCCTTTCACGGATTCTGAAAAGACAGGTGCCAAATCTGTGATTATATTAATTCCTGTCAGACTTGGTGGTGAACGGACCAATATGGAATACTTTGAGTTTGTGAAGGTATGAAATGAGTCAATCGCTTTTCAGAACGGGACACTTAAATGGCACGAAGGTTGAAAATGGTAATTAACCTATTAATAATTGAAATTTCAGTATGCAGCTGTGATTGAAAATCCTAAGTATTAAAAGTAAGCTAGTACAGCTATTCCAGACCCTAAATAGCTATCTTCCTGCTACAGAGTTCACCATAAAGACTGAACTTGTTTCACACTTTTTGCCGATTTCTTCAGGGATCAGATAGCTTCCAACTTTTTTTTCATATAATGTAAAGTTTATTACTCCCAGTAACATCAGCAATAGGCCATCTTTGAAATTGGTTTCCCTATTGAAGGATAAGGACCACTGTATTGATTTAGTAGGTACATAGATTCATATTAGGGGTTCCGCAAAGCATTTTGCTTTTTGAGCCAAGGATTTGGGGATAGAGAGCAAAGTAGGTTAGAAAACTATTGATAGTGAAAAAACAATATGGGATTGTATCAGTAGTGGGATTCAAATCCCGTCGTTACTGGTTCGCTCATGGGCGCACAACACTTCTGCGCATGCACAGAGACGTCCGGGTGGTGGGCGGAGCCTCCTGCTGCCACCGCTACCAGTTCACTCAATCCGGGGCGAACCGGTAGCAACCCACCACTGGATTGTACCCTTCTTCCAGTGCATCTGATCTTCTTAATTATTTGCCTTACGCTAACTAGTAAGTCTAGTTCTTTATGATACAGGTAGTTCATATCCTGTGTAGCACACAAGCCAACGAAGGCCCTTCAAAACATCCTTAGCAAACCAAAAGACATAGTATCCCCAGAAGGAAAAAACAGGACCCATCTGCAACATACAGTGTAAGGACTGCAACAACCATGATGTAAGACAAAGAGGACGAAGACTGTCAGAACACATCCATGAACCCCAACTGACAGAATACATGATGAAAATTCTTCAATTTCACAATATAGAGACAGATTTAACCATAGTTTCAATTGGGGAACATGTGACAATCCTAGACCAGGCCAAGTCCCAAAATGCCAGGGAATTTCTAGAAACCTGGCACTCTAAAAAAAAATAATCAGTGATCAATAGACACATAGACATTAACAACATCTATAGACTATGCAAAAGAGACAATCAACAAGCCCAAAAGAGAAAAAGACTCTAGCACAGGGGTCTCCAACCTTGGGAACTTTAAGACTTGTGGACTTCAACTCCCAGAGTTCCTCAGCCAGCTTTGCTTTGCTGGCTGAGGAACTCTGGGAGTTGAAGTCCACAAGTCTTAAAGTTCCCAAGGTTGGAGACCCCTGCTCTAGCACCTCTCAACCAGTAATCAGCACTCAGATCAGCATAGATTAACTCCAAAGTTAACTTCAGCCCCACAAGTAAGCAATATCCCAATCAAGAAACTGCCAAAGAGCCATCAGTAAACAGCCCAAGCAAAGAATCTCTAAGACCGCCCTCACCTACACAGACAGGCAAGTCACCAGAATATAAACTGACAGCAAACAGCACTCCTTACTAGCACTGATGATGTTACCTAGATAGGGTAGTGAAATGTCTGTAAGAAAAAAAAAGCAAGCTCAGAGAGTACCAAGGACCCATTTCAACCCTGAGCTATAAATAAGTCTCCTTTATTAGTTCACATCCTTCTGTCAATTTATTTGCAGACTTTCCTATCTCTCCTGCAACACCCCCACCCCCCCAAGATCCTTTGAAAAAAGACGTCTAAAAATGAATTTGAAAAATTATCCTTGCCCTGTAAAAATGTTCCGAACCAATAGAGGCCTAAGGATAGAGAGAGCTGTGTTGGCAGGCTTTTGGCTTTTGAATCTCCTTGGAAGTTTTTAATATTGGGAAATGACTCTTTTGTACATTGTCCAGAATTCTTGGATGTGCTTTAAATATTGTAAATAAACAAATAGAGAAGAAAAAAAACCCCAGTCTTCACTTTCGTTCTTATATAAGAAGAAGCCATGTCATTATTGAGGGCCTTATATGCTGTTTTAAGATGCAACAGGAAAAATAAAAGAGGAGCGATTTGGCTGAATCTAAGAAATTACAGTATTTTCTATCATTCAGTAACTATCATGTAAGACAAGGAGAGCGGTGACTCACAATTACAGCATATTTTCCAGTGGTGGGTTCCTCCCGGTTCCGCCCGGTTCCGCCTAGCTAGTAGCGGTGACCATATGATGTCACCAAACCGGTTCTGGCTCCCCCACCCCCCCACCCCCCGCGTTATTCTTACCTTTTATTTGGCCCCACCCCCAATCTATTGCTGCCTCCTGAGTCCCAGCTGATGGCTAGAGGGAAAAAAACTGTTTAAACTCTTGCCGCGGGGCTTCAAAGGGCCGCCCTACAGCTGATGAGTGTTAAAAGAAAACAAATGAGTAGACCGGTGCCTGTAAAAATAAATAGGTAAACCAGTGCCTGCAAAAATATATGAGTAGACCAGTGCTTGCAAAAACACATGAGTAGACCAGTGCCTGCAAAAATACATGAGTAGATCAGTGCCTGCAAAAATAAATGGGTAGTTCGGTACAGCCCAGTACCTCTGCTAAATCCTAAATAATTGTCACATGACCATCAAGCCACGCCCACAAAATAAGCCACGCCCACAATAAGCCACGCCCACAGAACCGGTAGTAAAAAAAATTAGAACCCATCTGATATTTTCCATATGTTGATATTTTGTTTGATAATTATAAGCATCAGGAAAATCTAATATTCTAATAAAGGGTCACGTTAGTTGGAAGAAATCAATTGCCAGCTGGAATATTTGGATTTTTAGTCTTTTTTAAAAAAAATAAAATGTGGACATATTCTGTTAAAGAAAAGTAAGACAGCATGGATCTAAAGAATCTTTTGGTTCTTTAGGAACCGGAAGTCTGGAATGAAAAGAATGATAAGGCAGACAGATGTTGCAACAATGCCATCGTCTTTTTTATTAGTATTCCGGAGGGTAACAAGTCAAGGAAATGAAGATGGTGAAGAGGAGAATGGGAGGACAGGGTGGAGACAGATTTAACAGATGCTAGATCTTTCTCATCTATAGCCTGCAAAGATAAAATGGACTGTAATGTCCTCCTTTTTTGATTAATAGCTGGTACCGGGGCCAGAACTCCACTGAATCTTGGGCTAACAAATCTCTATTTTATGGTCTTACCTTAGGATGTTTTCTATGATTTCCTGTTGCATTTGAAAAACTGCAATCCAGAGCTTGTGCATGTAGGAGTTACTGCTCCCATTTGTAAAATATTCTATTTATACATAAGCATTTGCATATTGAATGCTTTATTATTCTTTATCAGCTAAAAATAAAAGAGTTCATGTTTGCGCACTGAGGGATTTGCAAACAGCTTGCATTGTTCTAAAATCAAAGGCCACAGGTCTAAACTTGTTACATCGCAACCTCCTGCCATAAAAATCTAAATTTCAGTTTATCTACTCTTATAAAACAGGGAATTTTGAGTCTCGACTACTGCATTGGCATTATCGGAGGCAAACCTAAGCAGTCATATTACTTTGCTGGATTTCAAGGTTAGTGTTTTAACGTAATATATCCCTTTTTTAAAAAAACATGGCATGTCTCTCCCCCTCTATCTCAATTCTAAGAGCTTTGGAGTTATCATAAGACCCAAAGAAAGAAAAAAAATGATTAAAACAGCAGAGATTTCTTTATTAATTTATCAGACCCACAAAGTCCAGTCATTTGTCACTTGCTCCATGTTATAATTAGATTCTGTAAAAATGTATATTTAATTTTCCTTGTTGCACAAACAAGGCATAATTTATCTCTTCCATCAAACTCCCTGAGTCTTTCCCTGCCTACTACCTGGCAGATCCTAGTTATGTATTTATTCTTTAGTAGTTTAAATGGTGCAAGCTGATGATCGAATGACAAGCAAATATGTTCTTCCTGTCACAATGAGGAAATACGATGCATTTTTCATATGCAAACTCAAGGTATATAATTGTGTGTTTGTAAAAGTAATTTTATTTCCAAAAATTAAATGACAGTCTTATCGCTTTATCAAAATTCTGCTTCTACAAGCATCTTTGATTATGCAGAAGTTAATCCGTCCTGCAAAAAACTCAGTCAATGAATATACTCTGGCAGATAGTGACTTGCTGAGGGGACTCTTACCCCCACCCCCCCTCCTGTTCTGCATAGAAATTGGATTGTAAGCAGTGTAATAATATGGTGTTTTTTGAATTACTTGTCTTTTGTTTTGCCCTTGTAGATGACAGCTTGATTTACATGGATCCTCATTATTGCCAGTCTTTTGTAGATGTCAGCGTAAAGGATTTCCCCCTTGAGGTAGGATGGATAAAGAACAGCACTGTTTGCTTCGTGGATGAACCAAACACTAATTATTAAATCATCCCTTCCTCCTCTTCCTTTTAGATCTAGAGTAAACAACAACAAAAAAAAACAACCCTGTCAAATGTTGATCTTTTATATATAATATCAAATACACTGCCCTGGTTTTTGGGAGGTTGCCTGGATCACATTTTTAACTTGAGAGAATTCCATATCTTAAAAGGACTCCGTTGTGTTAGCAGCACAATCTCTGTCCTGTAACTTTTCTCCCTCAGGCTAGTTTGTCCTGTGCTGCAGTTAGAAGAGTTTCAAATATTGGATATCCAATTTCACTGCTGTAGGAAGGAGAGTCTTCCAGAGGTATTTGACACAATTATGTTCATAAATGTTTAACCCAAAGTCAAATGCTTCAGGTGCTGACACCACTCTAATAGAAAAGCTATTTTTTTATCTCAAATGCGGAGATGCTCAGTAGGATCCTGGAAAGTACAAGGCAAGAAAACAAGCAGTTCTACCTGCTGAAGTCTCCAATTAAACCTATAGATATGCATTGATTAGTTAATTGCTAGATTTTATATGTTGCTTCCATTCGTTGCCCTAGGCTAGTCTAAATTGTTGAGGTTATCTATTATACATTAAATGTTCAGGCCTCTGTTATGTGGAGATCTTTGACCTATGGGAGCAGACCATGAACAGGTGAAACTTAGTGTATACATAGTGTGTTCTTCAAAAAATGTGTGTGTGTATTTGTACAAGTAAGATTGTACAGAAAATATGTGGCTTCTTATTCCAATTCACAATGTTTGCATAGAGAACTATTGACTCTGGTCGGCTTTTAATAAGGCTACTTTTTCAGACCCAGCGTGGAACTTCATTTAGATCTTATTGTGTTGCTGATGTATCTCCTTGATACTATGCCTCTGAGAATCGCCCCCGATTATGTTGCCAGCTGTTCTATGTTGCCACTGCCAGCAGTGAATTTGAAGTTCTAGAGCAGTAATGGTGAACCTTTTCGGCACCGAGTGCCGAAAAGGGAAAGTGTGCACGCTCATCACAGCCACAACCAGGAAGAGGAGCTGCCCAGAGGGCATGTATGCGCAGGATAAATTACTCCTGGGTTCCAGCGTGTGCATGCATGCTGGCCAGCAAGTCTTCAAATTACTGCCGTGCATGAGCACAAACCGATCAGCTGGCCTGCACGCATGCTCACGCCAGAAAATGGAAGACCAGCTCTTCTGGTTTCCGGCACTCCTGCATGCACAAAAGCCAGCTGATCATCACATGCGCATGCATGCCAGAAACCTGGAAAAGGAACGGGTGACGCCGCGTGTGCCAGGCAACATGGCTCTGTGTGCCACTTCGGGCACGTGTGCCATAGGTTCACCATCACGGTTCTAGGGCAATCCTACTTCCCTCTTTGAAAATTAGAAATGGACACGCATCTCAGTTGATCAACTTAAGTTTGCCCTTCAGTTATTTGTAGCTTTTCATGCTTACATATTTCTACTAGAAAACTTCATTGAATTAAATTCCACAATTACGTATTAACTTGAATGTAATAATCATATATATCAAATTTGCTTACTGTTGAGTTTTTCAGTTATTTTTGTAATCATCTCAGCTTCTTCTATGCCTCAGTTATTAATCTATCTGAACTTTTGAGATATGAAAACAAAACGATAATTTAATTTGTTTTTCAGTACAAAAAGTTTCTCGGAAAAAGACATGTTATGACATGGTGAAGCAAATTCTAAAGCAGCTAAAATATTCAAATATCTTTCTAGTTTTCTATGTTTTTTAGTTTTCTGTATTGCAGACTTGCTATGTGCAACTGAAGATTGTACAGAAAGTATAGTTTATTAATATAATTTTTCAGTTTACCCATTATGTTAAGTGATTGATCCAAAAAGCTTATCAATTACTATCAATTATTATTACTACATATTAATAAAGTAACATTGCACATTGAGAAACTAATTTGATGTCTGTATATACAGCATCTCTTATTATATTAATTTGTTTCTTGAATTTCTATTTTCCAATTTAAGGTAATTAATAGCTTCTCAAAAAAATAATAATCTCAAAATGTCCATTAGGAAGTTTGCCACTCCATTAGAAAATGTTTGCTGGCTGCTGTGCTTTTAGTATTCTAATTCAATACTACCTTTACTGATTGGCTGAATCTCTCTGGGATTTCAGATAGAAGTCTTCTAGTCCTCCTCTACCACCACTAGCCATCAGCTTTTTGCGTGTTGGTTTCATTCAGAAGGCAGAAAGATCTCCAAAATCCATTCCCTCCTTCTATAGAGAGGAGAATATGGGGGTGGGGCTTAAATATCTTGTACTAGAAACATTATCATTCATAGTGAGCATTAAAAAAGTTTGCACATTCAAATGGGGATTGAATAATAGAAGAAAAATGGGAAAAAATGAAGCAAGATACACTCTCTGAATAATTCTGCCAACGTATCTGCTCCCCGATCTCAATGTTATGCCATATTGTAGGTGGCCGAAATATTATTTGAGAAGTGAACAGAGAGTTATGGTAGCGTAATTTTTTGTGTCCTGTTGAAAGCCTAACCTTCATCTGTTGCATATAAATATTTCCTAACTATCCAGGGACATTTGCATCATTGGTCTTTTCTCGGATGCTTATTAATCATTCAAAAATATTATATGTCTCTTGCAGTCTTTCCACTGTCCATCTCCAAAGAAGATGTCGTTTAAAAAAATGGATCCGAGTTGCACCATAGGATTGTATTGTCGTGACGTGCAGGGTTTTGAAAGGGCTGCTGAAGAAATAACTAAGGTAAATTTTTAGATGAAGAAACCAATGTAATTCTCATTTGCTTGGTTCTATTTTATGCTATCATTTTAATTATTTAGTAGTTATTTAGTAGAACGTAAATTACTGTCATAGTACAGCCAAACCACTACCCCAAATAACCCCATCTCAATGGCTTGTTGTAATCCTATTTAATTGATGCAATTAAAACCTGCAAAAGATTTAAAAACGTCTCAAGGAAAGGGTTCAGTAACAAGCAGAGTCATTGTAGCAAAATGTAATATATTTGCAGAGCATTATCTCTTTCTTATTGAGATTTAGCTGCATTTTAAAGTGCACTTTGAAGTGACTATATTATGACAGAAAATGAATGTAGAAGATATGGACATAACGGTTCTATCCAAGTTAAATTATTTCTGATACCGTAGGACAGTCTTTCCTAACATGGTAACCCTCTAAATGTCCTAGGGCTGCAAATCTCTGAATTTTGAGTGTTCTGGTTCTAACAAATCTAGCAGTTTCCAAATAGAGTAAAACTGGTTTAATCCAATCCTTCTCCCCACAGTCAAGTAGAGGTTTATTCCACCAGGTGGCAGCATTTAAACAAAAATATAGCTACAGAAAATCCCTTTTCCAGTCATTAGCCTGAAGAAGTATATTGTGACAATCAATTTCTAGGGAAGGATTTTAAATGGAAATATTAAATCAAATAAATTGTAGATTATTTCTTCATTAGCTGAAGTATGTTCATTACATTTACACTTTAAATATTATTATGGTGTTTTAGCACCACGTTAAATAAAGGTATTTCCCAGAGCATTTGTTTTAGTGCATTTGAAAAAAATTAAAATAGTTATACTTATTAAGACCTGGAAAGAAGCTGTTACTATATTCTTGCAATAAAATATTTCATTTTCACTTTATCCATGCTTGCTCCTATCTACTAATCTCTTCATTTTCCTCAAGCTGTCATATAGGATTTATTTTGTCCAATTAGAGAATTTTATATGTCACTTTAAATGGACTTTTATATTGTACTTTTATTTTCTTCTTTCAGCTTACATGGTATCACTTCTATAAAATTCAGAGCTATTTATGTTTACCTTATTTATTAGATTTAAGGATTAAGAAGCCAAACTGCGTAGGTCAAAATAATATACCATGAGTACTTTTTAGTATCGCAGGCCGATTCAGACTTGCTTTTTAAAATTATTTGATAATTCAGATCAATCTTTTGTCAAACCTCGGGGAAAAAAGTAAAATGTATGCTTTACCTTGCGTTATTTTTAACTATGTAAAATAACTTCTTGGGGTGTAGGAAGGTAGAGAAAAGGCACTTCTTAGGGCTGGAAAGTTCACGAGTGAGATGACATTTGAATTAGGGACTTTAAACCTTATAGCTTGCACTGGCAGTCAAATTCCCAGTAGCTTTTAGATATGAGATTTCTCTCTCTTTCTCTTTCTCTCTCTCTCTGGAAGGGAGCAACATTTAAAATTACTTTTCCTCAAGAAATTTTTTTTTCCTATTATTTCTAGTTTTCTGGTTGGAGGGTAACATTTTACATACAATTCATTCCAAAATCATCTCTGTGTGAGAAAAATAGCTGTATTAGAAACCAGCCGTTGATCAGGAATATTAGAAAGCTCCAATTTTATTAAGGAGTGCCTTAATAAAAGGAAAACTATTCTACAAGTGGGGAAAAAAACAGATCCCGATTTATTTTAAAAACCACAGTTAGGACTGCATTCTTCTTCTGGGGGGGGGCACATTCTTTGCTTCATTTTTGAAAGCCAACTTCTAGCCTGGATATTTTTAATCAAGAGAAAATTAGAACTATATGCCAAATGTTTGGAGAATGTCAAAAAGAGACCATTAAGGTGGTTTCTGTTGGGTAAATGATTTCAGATCGACAGTGGTTTATACAGCTGTCACATATCTTAAGAGTCATCAGTATAGGGAGAACAAAATATTAGTACAATTATTTCCATAAAAATAGCTACTGTAATATTGCAGTGTTGTAAGTTGCTACACATTTTCTTTAAACTTAATTTATAGGATGGAGTAATTAACTGCAGAAAGTAGAAGCCTCGTCTTGTGACTCAGACAGCATGTAATGCTGTATTGCTAGACTAAGCTCAATTTACATTGTCTGGCTAAGTGATCTGTAATGTGGCAGCTATCCTGATCAAAGAGCAAAGTAGTAGTGAGATTCTTACTTGGTAGTGGCTGTCACATTATAAGACACCTGTCAATTAATAGGAGGGGTTAGCCCGCCAGCTAATTTCACAGGCTACCAAGCAGGCATCAGAATGCCATGAACTTTTGCTATTGATGGGAGCTGAATTGATCCAGTAGCCAAACAATAAAAAGTCTCTACCTAATTATCATGTCCCTTGAGAGATGCTTTGTCATGAACTGCCACCTTAAAAATGCCCCTTTCTGATTCTCAATCCTACTTCTTTTCTGGATTATCTGGAGGATACAATTCAAGAAGAATAGAATAAAGTTTAAAACTACAGAGCACGATAAAATTCATAGAATCTGATTTTACTTCAGACAATTTTCCAGAAGCTTGTTGGTTCCTTCTAAAACACTTTATCCCATTTGAATAGTTTGCTTTTTTTCCTCAATATGTCAGATTAATATTGCTATGAATATTTTTCCAATATAGATTTGACCAGTCCCTTATGCACTTTATCTGTAGTCCAATACAGTTTTATAAGATGATATTGAAACCATTTATGCAATTTAAATGATTAAAATTCTAAAAGCCCCCAAAGCCAATGCAGAATAATAAATATAAGTCAGAATATTATTAGTTCAATTTTGCCTTACCCAAGAAGTGATTAAATGTTACCTTTAATGGGAAATATTTGTTGACTGTGTTGTCATTATAAATATGGTTTACAGTGTGCACTTTGCTGAGGAGGAACAGGAGAAGAAACAAAAAAAAATTGAAAGGGAGACGATTTAAACAATTGTGCATTTTGCTTCAAACGGATATGCTTATACTCCTGACATTGATCTTCTAATTCATTTTCTTTTTTCCAATACATTTCACTGCAGATTCTAAAATCCTCATCTAAAGAGAAATATCCCTTGTTTACTTTTGTAAACGGACATTCCAGAGACTATGATTTTGTGGCGAGTCCAGTCCGGGAAGAGAAGACAATGTTCTCTGAAGATGAACACAAAAAGTTGGCTTGTTTTAATAATGAAGACTTTGTCTTGCTATGAGGACATTTTTATTTATTCATTTAAATGTTTTTATGCTCACAGATGCTACAAAATGGCTTAACTAAAAGCTACAAGCAACATAAAAATCACAATTAATAAAAACTTGTGGCAATAAGCAATAGACAACCAAGGACTATCATCACTAATCGGTTGTTGAAAACTTGTTTTCTGACTTCCAGCAAAGGGGATCCTAGAGTTTAAGACTAGGCACCACTGCCCAGTAATTTTTGCTTTGCGTAATCATGCACAACACTTCAATTGGAAAGTGACAGAATGGACACTCAGTTGTGACTCAAGTCTAACCTACAAGATTAGAATCATCAATCTTTCCAGCAGTGAATTCCAAGTGCAGGAGATATTGAGGCCAAACTGTCTGAAGTCTGTTAGTTTAGGTAAAAAAGAAAAGAAAGAAAATTGGACAGGAGGAATTCCTCATTTGAACAACATAAAGCAATATCACATGGAACGTTTAATTAAATATTCACTTTAATTGATAAAAATATAAGGTTTACCAAACAAAGCATCTATTGGCATATAATTAGTAAAAACAGACTTGTACTTAAAATGTCAAAAAGCTTAGGAGTCAGTAGTGCTTTTCCTGATGTTTAAAGACATAAACTAAAGGGAACCCAGAACCTGTACTGTGAAAGGCTAATTAAACTTGTGAAAGATGATAAAAGACAATCTGTGCTGAAGGCCTACAATGCTCAGTGTTGGAAGATGTGCTCAGGAACATCTTAATTTGCTCATCGTAATAGTCAAGTTTGGCCCATTCTAAGTGCACTTTATAAATTGTAGAGCATATTCCATACATTAGGCTTCTTTAGGGAAGCCTTTTATCAGAGCCATCATACAGCCGGGGGAAAAAAGGGATATACCTTATGTGTAAAGCAACAGGTAAGTCTCTTGGCCCAGGGGCATTAGAAAGTCAAGAAGAGTGTCAAGATATTCTGTGACACCTATTAGGCCAAATGGCTTGAGGCTAGATGTCAGTTCTGAACTGCCCGACCTACTGTAATAATAATAATAATAATAATAATAATAATAATAATAATAATAATAATAATAATAATAATTTTATTTCTATACCACCCTTCTCCCGAAGGACTCAGGGCGGTGTACAGCCTGTTTAAAAACACAAACAAAACAACAATATAAAATTTAAAATAATTAAATAAAAGTGGCTCAGATTTAAAACCCCAATAAATTTAAATATCCCAATTTAAAAGCTATTGTGTTGTTAGTCCGGCCTGGCGGAATAATAGGGTCTTCAGTGCGCAGCGAAACGCCCGGAGGTCAGAGATCTTACGAATTTCCGGGGGCAGTTCGTTCCACAGGGATGGGGCTCCCACAGAGAAGGCCCTCCCCCTGGGCGCCGCCAGTCGACATAACTTGGTTGACGGCACCCTGAGGAGACCCTCCCTGTGGGAACGGACTGGTCGGTGGGAGGCTATTGGTGGCAGAAGACGGTCTCGGAGGTACCTGGGTCCTATGTCATGGAGTGCTTTAAAGGTGGTAACTAACACCTTGAATCGCACCCGGAAGACCACTGGGAGCCAGTGCAGCTCGCGCAGGAGGGGTGTCACATGGGCACAACGAGTTGCGCCCATAACCACCCGCGCGGCCGCATTCTGGACCAGTTGGAGCCTCCGAGTGCTCTTCAAGGGGAGCCCCCTGTAGTATCTCTCTAATCCTATAATCTGCATTTATTAGTAAATACACTGATATAACCATTATATAGTGTTGCTTTGCAGATCAGCATTGAGCTGCATGAATTTCCTTAAAGCAGTGTACCTACTGCAGGTGACATTTTGGGGGCCTCCTGTCCTAACAATACATTTCTGGGGAAAAAAACTGCTAGGATGATCATTTTAAGCTAACAGGTAGCATTTAGATGTATCAAAGTGACCACTGTGATACTGTATGCACCTGGCTTCAACAGATTTAGGGAAATGGTAGCATTTGAAGAGAAATGATGTCTCCTTCAGTATCCTTCAAATCTATTGAATATTTATGTTCTCACAGAATCAAGAGGTGGTCTTTTAAAACATTTTAAAATATATAGCAACTTATTTTATTAATAGATGAATATAATGGCAGGTAATAAAAGAATACTAAGCTTATTGAGATATGGTTAAATATTGATGTGTTAGGCTAGTTTTATCATATTTCTAGCTTTTCAACAATTTCTATTTGGAATTCAAATCAATTCTTGACTGTAAAAGGATTCACTGCAATGTGATTATCTTTCTACTAAGGTACACTGCATATTTTAAAAATATTTTTGATAACACTTCATAAGAGACCCACGGATTGAAGTATTCTAAGGACCATGATGTGCTTCAATTGATCCTCACTTAACTAATGTAAGGCAAAGGAATTGGCTAGTTTGCAAGAGCATACAGTTTGTTGGAAACAAATACTTAAAATGTTGTATTGTTAAAAACCTAGGCTTAATGTGCATAAAGAATCAGGGAATCAAAATATTAGTGTTATTTTGTGTCAGTCCCTATAATGTTTAATGGTGTAATCATGAAATTCCAGACTGAGTATTGTGGTCCAATGTATTTTTACTTTTTACCAATGATGCTTATGTAATTGGAAGCTGAAGAGTGAGTAAAGGTTATTATTTAACAATATGATCTTATAATGACTACTCATTATAGTTGTAATTGAAATCTAACAAGAAATTTTATTATAATATTGGCTCCCTCCTCTCATTTTGTTATTGTTAAATTACAGCCTATAATATTGGATACAAACAATACTCTTAATATCAAAAGTCTTAAATATAAATCTAAAATTGTGGACTGAGACACCAGCAGCCGACATACAGATATATTACAGTATGATTTTGTGAAATTGTATAGATCTTTGCATCTCTGGAAGAACGAATCCCTTATATATATACACAAGATTTCATTTCACTTAAACCTGGTTTAAAAGGAGCCTTGGTAGTACAGTGGTTTAATGCACCCTGTAATTAACACAGCTGCCTGCAATTTCTGCAGGTTCGAATCTTACCAGGCTCAAGGTTGACTCAGCCTTCCATCCTTTCTAAGGTAGGTTAAATGAGGACCCAGTTTGTGGGGGCAATAAGCTGACTTATAAATATACAAAAGTATGAAGGCTATTGCTTAACGCATTGTAAGCCGCCCTGAGTCTCTGGAAAAGGGCGGCATATAAATCAAATAAAAATAAAATAAAATAAATAAAATGCAGATTTTTTCCCCCTGAATGGATGATTTCATTCCATTTTCTAAAGAAATAAGCAGTATAAAATGTTCTTGTAGCCAACATTAACATTCTGACAGAGCTGACTAACTGAATAGCTAGCTAGCTGTATTATTTTTTATATGAATGGCAAAAAAAAGTTCATAGAGGTTTAGTACAAGAACATGTCTTGAAATTAGGCCTAATGCTGATGAATGGAAATCTTACAGAGAAGGTGAGATAAAAGAGCTGGATTAAGTATACTTGGAAGTCATGCAAGACAATCCTGTGTTTTTTTTCAACCAGAAGAGTTCCATAGTTTTGTAGCATGATTTACATCATAAAATATATTTAGGGTTGCAGGTTTAAATATGCTTGGCTGTTCCTGCTTTTAAGATGAAAATGGCCTATGCATTGCTCTGTGGATCTATTCATTTTTTACCTATGCATTTTTCATATGGATGTCCAAGGATAGCTAGTTGGTATATACAATTAAAAAAATAAACCAAGAATGGGTTAACAAAAAAGATTGTGTGTATGTATATATATATATACATACAGACAATATATAATATCAAGGGTTCAAGGGTAAAAGTGTAAACTGATTGAAATGACACCAGAATCTTTCATTAACCATGGATTTTTCAGCTACATTTATGTTGTTAAGTATCTGCTTCACCAGTGAGAATTTTTGAGAAACACTTGTGCATATAGAAGTGCAACGAAAACCTTAAATTGCCTGTTATATTAAGTATGGTCTCTACATTTAGTCACAGAATTTTTACAATATAATACAAAACTATTTATGCATTTCTAAACTGCTAAGGCCTCCTTAACTGTCCATTTACTGTCACAGTTCCAAACCAAGCCAGCAAAGGAAGAGGCCACACTGTGAGTAGAACGGATCTCTTTACTGGAGTTTCAGCTTGGCACGTGGTAAACAATAGAGTAAAAGGGTTTCTAGCCAGCATTACTGGCTTCTGCTAGCCAGCTGGCTATATGGACTCAGCATGCTCCACCTTCCTCTCTTCCTGGTTGCTCCCTGGCTGGCTCCAGCAAGTACTTTTTTGGCCCGGCTCCAGCAAGTACTCAGGCCTGGTTGCTCTCTGGCTGGCTCCAGCAAGTACTCTTCAGGCCTGGATGGCTTCTGAACCAACCGCAGCTGGCTTGCCTTCCTGGCTCCTCTCCCAGCATGAGTCCCATCACCCGGCACCCATCTGTGTCCCCATGCATCCCCCTCCCCCTACGTATGTGTGGCAACTCTGAAGCGGCGCATAGTGGCCACTTTGAACAGTGCGTTGTCTCAGACATTGACAGGTGGCCCCCTCTACCAAGGGGAACATATCTGGAAGAGAGCAAGCACATGCACAGATTAGTGGACTCTGCGGCCCACCCTGGGTGTCCTGCTTGGGCTTCAAGGGATTTTCCTTACGAAACTTGATCAGTCTTTCCACCTGTACATCTTGGCTCTTCACCCATGAGGCCTCAGCCATGGGGTACCCTTTCCAATGGACTAAGTACTGCAGGGCCCCCCTATGCACCCAAGAATCTAATACTTTGCCTATTTCATAGTGGGTGTCCCCATCCACCATTATGGTGTGTGTGTGGGTGTGGTGTGTATCTTTCATTTTTTAAACAAAAAGTATTTTTTTGCCAGTGATCAGTTTTCTTTGCTAAAATAAAAGTAACTTCTGTTTAGAAGTTATGCAGAAATAAAACTCTTTAGGGCAAATCAGTAATAATTTCCACTTTGTTCCTGGGATAAAGATCTTATGTATGCTACTAAAGATGATTCAAAACCATCCAGTACAGCTCGAGATACAACAGATCTTTTCAGGAGAGCCTTTGTTCTGTCAACAAGTAGCTCATTTTCAGATGCTCTAATTGTAAGAAAAATCCATAATTTAACAGCA